CTACGGGCACACTTGTTTCATTTTCTATTAACATTGCTTTTACGCTAAAACGCACCGTAAGGTGGCGTTTTTATTGCTCTGCATTTCTTTATTATAAAACATAGTGCGGAATGATAAGGTTGGACAAGTCACTGTAGAGGATATATCTATATGTATCTATTAATCAACATGCATTGAACCTATTTTGTGTTTAATCTAATTATTAATTTCCTGATTTTTTCCCTGTTCCGCTTTTCTTCTTAAGTTTTCGCCTCTAAATTCCAAATATCTGTTCCATTATCTGTCGCTACTATTTTAATTTCTAAAACCAGTATATACTGTAGCCTGTTTCGATAGTAACAACATTTTGCCTTTATTGCCTAATCAGTACAACTCTTTGATAATCGAAATGAACTAAATTCCAAATTTCCAACTCCATATGGACAACTATTTCGCGTAGTCGCCGGATATGCAAGTGTGGACAAATGACTATCTCCGAGGCACGGGCATGGAAATGTACACCGAGACGCTCAGTCCGTCTTTCATAGGCATGCCATTTGCGCAAGCCACAGAGTAAGTTGAGGCGTTCGAAAAAAAAAACAACCAAAAACCAAAACTTCTCCACCAGAAAACCACCCAATTTCGAAAATACTTCTTCTACTGTTGCTATTACTACTACTACTACCACCACCACCACTGATCTCTATTGTTGTAACTATGAACCATGTCGTAAACCACTCCCACTAGAAAAACAAAAACAGATCTGAACGATACAAACAACTAGAAAGAGCGTACACTATCACCTGTGTTGAACACCCTTCTACGCGTTTGTGTGTAAACTCACCATCTTCCGAAAGAAGGAACTTGTCAAATAACAACAATCGATGTAAATCACAGTTAGGCATATATCCAACCAGACACACAACAGCAAACCAAATTAGGTTGAGGAAGTTCAGGAAAACAATGTCACGATAGAATCTCGAAGCGAAAGAAGTCATAAGTGTATTTTGTATTGCAAACTATCTATGAAGTACTTTAGTGCAACATTTTATGAAAACGTTTTGGTTTGATTTGCTTCACGCCCCCCCTTGTTTCTGTTATTTCTCAAAATCATATTTACTGCGCAAAACAAGTTTGCACGTACACGTCTTTTCCGACAGTGGCGCAAATGCTAACGCTATTGATATATTTATACATACACCCGAATGATTGTAATGTCACTTTTGCTGTTTGCATTTCTTTCTGTTCCAATCGCTGCAATTTTCAGTTTAATGCATATAGCCCACGTCACTAGTTTATTGCAAATTTTGTATTAATTTTACTATATGAATATTGAAGTAGTTGCAACCGAAAGAAATACGTAATTTATTGATGGCGGCAGATGAAATTCGTCGAACTGTAGCTGACGAGGTAATTTAACTGATTATTCCCCTACAGGCAAAAGTAAAATATCATCACATTCGATATTGCAACAGCTCTTTGCGAAAAATGCAATATCTGTAATCGGTACCCGCCGAACTGGATACACAAAACTCTTGTTAAATAGTGCATGTTTTTCTGTTGCCTTCCCAAGTAACAATTTCGGCTTTCCTAGACCAGTGGTTCTCAAACTTTGAGAAATGTCATACACTCGTGATCCTGACCAAAACGAGCTTAATAATGCAAAAATTGCCGAAACAAACAATCGTGCACGATGACCTTAAAAATGAAAAAAACCGATGAATTAAAAATTGATGACATTGACAAGGAAAGCATTGCCTTAAATGTTAAAAAAGGCAGAAAAAACTGTCATAACGCTAGATTTACGCCATTACACGATTCAGTAAAATAAAACCGATTACAACATATCAACCACAAACGAAGTGACAGACGACTTACTGGCGAAGAAATCCATTAAAATAATGTGGTTCACTGTAATAGAATTTTCTTGGAAGCTTGTGCCATCATCCACCAGATGGGTTAGTTTTTTTGTTTTGATTTGAACAAAGTTGATTTTGTGTACAATGATTCTTTGACAGTGTGCAAAGAGTGCGTATCAATTTGTCATTTTTATGCATTTCAGTTTTGAGTAGAGTGAAAGAGATAGAACCAAAATATTCTAGTACATTTGGTGAAAATGCTAGTTCAATCCAATAGTAGTGTTGCCATGTGGTACAATCCAGTAGTAGTGGTGTTGCCATGTGGTACACTGAAAAATTGCAATAGAAGGTTAGTCACCAAAGTTTTCGAGCCGCTCCGTCTGTCACTTCGTTTGTGATATCAACTCTGGAAACTTTTCCGTTATCTCATACTACCGCTATGAGATAGGCACAACCGCATCATCTGCCGCTCAAAGGTAAATGCTTCGAACGAATTTGATAGCAAAGATTCCAACCTAAAAGGAAAGGTTTGTGTATTTGCTCATTTTTCTATGCAATGCTTCCATCTATTGTTTCCTACTCGGAACATCCCGTGAAATATATGTTTGTTTACAAAAGGCTACATATACATTTTTACTAAAACAGGTCACGAGACAAAGGAAACCATTTCTGTAAAGTTTGTTTTATACTTTCCGAGGGAAATCCGAAAAAAAAACTTTATGAAGGAGTTGGAAGAAGTTTCCGAAGAAATGCGAAAACGATTTCAGGGAATGTCGGGAAAAAGATCCGGGTAAATCCGCAAGACAGTTCCACCGGAAGGCAGACAAACTTATGTGGGAAGTCGGATGCAGAGTTGCAACCTATCACAACCACGCTAATGGCTGTAACGTGAAGCTCTCTCCAATACCATGCATCAAGTTGACGGAAGAAGTAAAAAGCAACTTAGGATTGGGCGATCTAGTTAGTTAGTTATCTTTATTAAGAAGACTTTCAGCCAAAGATGGGCAATCTTGGATTGATCTTTGAGCGATCGATCCTTTTGATCTCGATTTTCAATTTTTAGGATCGATTCTTTATTTATTAAAAATCGTAAAAATCGATCTTTCCGATCTTCAAAGAAGCAAAGGAATGTAATTTTTGTGCATCGAAAAACTGATTTTCTGAAACTGAAATTCCGTGGATTTCGCTTAAGTGCCTCTGCTTACAGGTCCGCACCTCCGTTTTTCGCCCTTCATACAGTGATATTGTGAATTCAGATCGGTAGCTCAAATTGATCTTGCTATTAAGTGGAGCTGCATATAAGACAAGATCTTTGAAGGGATGGTGGCTACTTTACATACATTATATACATCGAAAAACTGATTTTCATTAACCCCAAACCTAAATTTAATGAACATTCCCTCAAATTTGTCACCAGCATAGTCGCTGCTAATGTTGTATCAAATATAAATTTGATACATATGTTCCTTTTTTCATCATGGCGCATTATGACAGTTAGGTATACAACAGGGTTACTTTCATTCATTTTAAATAAAAAGATGTTTTATGGGATAATGGAATCATAATATATTATGATTATGATGATTTTTTGTATTTGTTAGTAGCTAGAAGAGTTTGTAAAGTTTGTGTTTCACTCATAAAACCTGACAATTTTACTCATTCTTGATTTATCGTAAACAGCGATTTGAGCATCGCTGATTGTTACTCTTTCAAAGCAAAATTGGCTATTTTTATGTGAACAACACATTCCTTATAATCTCTTATTGTAAGCTACAAATACAAAATATTATTTAAAGACTTCTACATCAATTTTTCTGATGAATAAACAAATCTCTCGAAAAACACGACTCAATTAAATACTTTTAAACGTTTATTATCACTTGCTTCCTATGCTCAAAAAAGCACGTAAATGTTTTTTTTGTATCGATCTGAATCACACATATTAAATATCTTACAAAGTATACAGAATACCGAGTGTAATACTTAATTATAATTTAAATGTCCAGGTTAACCGACCGTTCAGTATTCGGTGCATTACGGTAATTTAGCATTATGAAAACAATATCGATCCTGCAAAGATCGATTCTTTTGTACCGATTAAATCGATGGGTCGATTATATTGCCGTAAATAAAATTGATCCTCGAAGATCGATATTTTATTAAAGATTGCCCAATCCTAAAGCAACTGGTGAAAGTCGACTTCGCCGGTGATCCATCACCGATCTGGTCATTCCCGACATCCATACCTCTCACGCCAAAGTCACAAGTTTAAATTTCACCCCCGGACAAGTCACGAATGACCCAAGAGTGTTAAAGTGCCTATAATAAAAAAAAATCTTGAACACCAGCAGGATTATTGGCAAAACGAGACAGAATTAAATTTTTCAACTGTAGATCAAGTTTTGGAGCATCTAAGATGAATCAATTTATCAGGAAAAACTAAAAAGTGTTCCGTTTTCTGTCTCACGGTAGAAATTTCTGCTCACAACACTCTTTTTGACGTTCTTCTTTTCACCACCAGAGGTTGAATCGATCGCTTAGTTTCTATTAAAAAGGCGTATACAGATAAGATTCCTCAGAATACCGATTTTTGAGATTTTATACTGATCTATACCGATTTTTGACGTAGGGCTACGTCTGTTCTATATGGGGGTACACTATGTGAAAACTGAAATTGGGACATGTAACAATATTATGAAAGATTTTGAACGTTAATAACTCAGCTACTCCTGGACCAATTACAATAATTTTATCACCAATCGATCAGATATATTTCTACTGTTTATATTCTACAAGAAACTATTCAAAAAGTGCTAAATGTCAAGCGTTTTCCAAAAGCGTCGAAATAACTAACAAATCCACCAATTACGTGCATGCAAATTCTGCTACACAGTCATAATAATCGTTTCTAGACGAAACATGTTGATGTAGAATTGTCACTTCCCCAACATTGTCATCAGAGAGTCGTTAGTAGACGAAACAAGTCGAAGTGGCATTCGCCTCCGATCTTCGGGCGTGTGCGAATAGGGAGAATGCAATTGCGTAACGTTTTGCACACTCATCGCCATATTCAGAACTACAGGCCCCTAACGACCACACAAAATGCTCTCCAGAGTTGTAACATTGTAACCAAACTTTAAAGCAGGGGTGCAAGTGATTTTGATCGAAACTTTTTGTTTCGTTTGTAACTCGACAGCATACATATTCATTGATACGCTTGTTATTCTGGATGATAGAAGAGCATAGCGGAAATAGTGCGAAATAGGTTAGTGAAGCCATGGTCATCAAAAGAGGGAATCGATGAAGAGAATCGAGAGTAATGAAAACTAGCATCGCACCGCTTTTGGTTCTTGGGTTACACTTTTTTTTGTTTTTTTCCTTGATTTGTTTTCCGTGCTGAGCACCAATGCTATTGACGCCAGAGAGGCTGCTCCCACACCTGGACCCTACCTATCGACCCATCAACTCATGAACCGGGGACCAACGGCTTTACTTCCCTTCCGAAGGAAGGCGTGATCAGAGATGTTATGCCTCAGAACATCCCGGCGGCGCCGACTGGGATTGAACCCAGGCCTGCTGGGGTGAGAGGTAATCACGCTTACCACTACACCACCGGCGCCGCTGTTTGGTTACACTTGCTGGTTGCAATTCTGAAGTTCAACATTTACGAAGGACCACCAAAAACATGCATAAAAGCCCAATTATTCGATTAAC